CCCTGGGGGTTGGGTCCAGTTCCATCCTTCTGAACTGGCCACTTCTCGGCAGCACTTCCCGGTGCTGGCATCTGTTGGTAATGAGCTGATTGTGCAGCAATTTGCAATTTCCCAGATGCTTTCAACATGCAGCCACTTTGACAAGTTAAACACTGCTAATACTGTATCATTTACCACATTTTCTTGCACATTGTATTAATCTTAAAGACTGAACTTAATTCGCACAAGGACACTCTCTCTGAGTATAGAAGGGCTAGTCTACAAATGCTTATAAAATAAGCATCCTCCTGGCTTGCCAAAGGAATGGAAAGCCACAAAAATAAATTGGAAGGGAAACCAGGAAAGCTGTTTTTTATTTTCTGAAGGAAGGAAGAAATTATTTAGCCTGATCCGAGGCTCTTTCCGCATCTCACACATTGTTATTGCTGAACAAATGCTTATTATTATACTTAGCAGTGAGGTAATGCAGGATGGACCTTTTCTTCCCTAAAAGGAATACGGAGTATTTCCAGGTCCCATTTCTGCATCCTGAATGGTGTGTTCACCTTAGCAGCTGAAGGATCTTCTTTTTTTTTTTAATCTCAAAGCTAGAAGAAGGCAGGAGGCAGAATGCCTGTCTAGAAAGATGACAAATCAGACATGACACACATACAGACCCATTACTTCTGTCATATTTCTCCTCTTAACTTTTCTCAGCAATTAAGGTTTCCATGAGCCTCCCACTCCTTTTCAAATCCTGCTCGTGAGGCAGTTGTAATTAAATCTCCTTGATTTCCCAATGCTGCTTCTTTGTAAAACAACTTTCTCTTAGAAAAGTTGCCCTTCTAAATCGCCCCATACTCTTTCTTGACTCTGGCTCCAATGACCCACAAAATCTTTTCCTCCCTGTCTTTCAAGCCTAAATTCAGAGCAAGCGCTACCTCCTGCGGAAGTCTTCTGTTTTGATGCCCTTTGTGTGGACTTTCATTCCCTCTTACGCATGCCTCTCTCGTATTTGCCACACTGTCTTGTTATCGGTGTCCTGACTGTCTCCCACACTTCGCCTGTGCGCAGGAGACAGGGACACAGCCCAGCTGCCTTTGCTTGGAGCCAGTTTTGCCACAGAACACAGTAGAGAAGCACTGAGCAGTTGCTTCCCAACTCTCACAGCAACTATTTTCTTCTCTTGAGAGTGCTGTCAATGCGTAAGCCTAGATTGAGCACTACCTTTGTTCCTCCTTTGTTAGCATCACAAAGAGAATAACATGCATTGATTTACCTAGAGATAAGCCTCCGGGAATGCTCTGAAAACCTCAAATCATCTATCACATAATCCTTGGGCACCTCATAGGGGGCCAGATTTGTACTAAGTACCTCGGGGGAGGGTGATAAGGAAATATGAAACTAGGTCTCAGGCCACAAGCAATATGTTACTTTGATAAAGATTTAAATAACAACCTATGGCTGGGCATGATGGCACTGTTATCCCAGCACTCAGGAGGCTGAAGCAGGAGGACTGGCATGAGTTCAAAGTCAGCCTGGAACTACATAGTGAGTTCAAGGCCAGCCTGAATAACAGAGCTAGACCCTGTCTCACAAAACCAAAAATATAAAAATAAGTAAAATTAAATTAAATATTATAGAAAACATTGACTAACTTTCTGTAACAATAAATAAGGACCAACCAAATGAATCAGAGATAATGCTAGCTAGAGGAAATATATTATTCAGGCTGGGAGAGATTTCCAAAGAATGAAGAGAGTTGGGAGGCAGTATTCAGAGCGGCTTTATGGAAGCAGCCAGCACTGGGTTTGAAAGACAGCTGGGTCTCAGTAAAGGCAGAGGAGGGAGTGTAGCCCTTTCAAAGGACAACATAAACAAAGGCAGAGCGTAGAATTTGCAGTCTGTCTAGATTTAGACAATAATGAGTAGACTTGCCTGGCTAGGAAAAAGGCCCTGTGATGAGAAGGAGTGGAAATTAGGTTCTAAAACCAGCACAAACTATCTTTACTTTTCCCCCCAGTAAGAACTGCCCAAGTGACCTACTTTTAAGAGGCCTCATCAAATCCATGTCCTGAACAAGAAATGCGCACTGAAGCAGGAAAGAACAATATTACCATAACCCAGCCACCACCAAGTACTTCTCAAGAGCACTGGTTAACTCCTGACTAGCCAAGGGCTGTTTCTCTAGTCTGGGCTTTATGCATTCCTACCTACCAGTATAAACTGTGTACCCACTACGTGCTAAACTCCCCACGTCTCCTAACAATAAGGGAGCTAGAATTCCTAAACTCAAAGAAATTATACTTCTTCCCCGTTTTTTTTTCTTTCATAATTCTCTGCTCTTCTCCCATTTCTTAAAGGCAGTCTTTCAGGTTTCTCATCAAACTCCAGATTTTCGGAAGGTTTTGCTTCCTGAACATGTTTCAATCATGCTTTCAGATTAAAACAGGAATGAAAGACAAGTCAGTGACTCATTCGGCTTTTTTTTTGTACCGGGAATAGAACTCAGGACCTTGTGCTTGCCAGGCAGGCACTTGTGCTGCTGAGCTATATATATCCTTGGCAGTTTCTTTTTTCTTTTTTTTTTTTTTTTTCCTCATTTTGCTTTGGAGGTGAGATAGTTAAAGTTTGAGTGCCTTCTTTACAATGTTCTATCTTCAGCTATTCTCTCAGAATTAAATGTTGGCTCTATCTTAATTATCTCAGGATTAAGAGTGAAAAGCTGGCTCTATCTTCCAGAAAACTTCCTTTGAATCTCCCTTAATGCTTCTCATGAATTATTAGAAGGGAAGCATTAGAGAGAGATGCAAGACATGGCTCTTCTTGTCCAAATACAGAGGGGAAGTCATGGCCATGTCAAGGTGCCACCATCCAAAGCATGCTTCTGAGCATGTCTGGGGCCATCCAGCCTCTTCTCTCTTCCAACAGTCTTTAGGGATAATACCTAATCTGACATAAATGCTATTTGAATAGTTTTCATACCATATTAAGAGGTATAAAAAAAAACTTTACATGTTCAATGTAGTGCAATTATTTTCCCAAATATTTTCAAACCACGGTTGGTTGAATCTGTGGATGCAGAAGCACTAGGTGTCTGCCTGGCAAGCACAAGGTCATGAGTTCGATTCCCGGTACCAGGAAAAAAAAAAAAAAAAAAAAAAGAAGCACTAGGTGTCAACTCTATTTTCTCACATATGCTGTGTTAATGAACCAACATTTCCATAGCCTTTACAGAATGCTTTCATATCGATGATCTTATTTGTGTCTTCCATGAAACACTGTGAAATAGCATTTATATTATCATCTCTTAATAAGGAAATGGAAGTTAAAAGAGGTTTGAAATACCTTGCTTTTGGTCAAGTAAGAAATGGTGCCAGAAAATTATTTGGGAATTATTCCATGTAGATCTTTCACCTAGCACCATAAAACAAAACAAATCTCAGATGAATTGTCTTAGTCACTCTTCTCTCATTGCTGAGATAAAATACTGGGCACCCAAAGTTAGAGGAAGAAAGGTTCATTTTGCTCACAGTTTGTAAGGGTTTCGGTCCATAGTCGGCTGGCTCCAAGGTAGGGTGGAGTGGCAGAGGGGCATCACAGAGGAGAAACAGTCCACAGCAAGCAGGCAAGCAAAAGGACACTAGCCCTCTTTCTGTCCCTTATACTTTATGCAGGCTGCTAGCCCTAGGGAAAGTGTAGCACTCACATCCTTAATCCTAGCCAGAACTATGCCAGACCAATCACAGGGCTTTTTGAGTAATCACACAGCCTGGATCCCAACATCACACACTCTAGATCCAGCCACCTCTGAAAAGTTTGCACCATGACTGCATGAGGCTTTGGGGGACATCTAGACATAAGCCATAATATGGATTAAAGAGTTAAACAGAAAAAAATAAAATCTTTAACAAAAAAGGAAAAGAAAGCATGCTTAAAGATAAGCCTGATCTCTAGATAGGTTTTTTAGGCATATGAGCACTGGAAGAAACTCCAAGGGAAAAAAATTAATAGGTCAGTGTACACAAAATGGTATATTAAAAAATGTAACAAAGCCAAATAAAGAGCTAACAACCTGAGAGAAAATTATTGAAACTTGTCTTCTCAACCATAGACTTCATGCAAATATCTATTTTTAAATCTTCCTTTTAAAATGAATAGGTATTTTTTAAAAACGAGTAGACAATTTATAGAAACATAAACACAACCATCTAACAAAAATGTTATTCAGATTCAACTCTTGTTTTTTTGAGACAGGGTCTCACTGTATAGTTCAAGCTGACCTTGAACTGACTGTGTACCCCAGCCTGGTCTCAAACCACAGTTGGTTGAATCTGTGGATGCAGAAGCACTAGGTGTCAACTCTATTTTCTCACATATGCTGTGTTAATGAGCCAAAAAAAAAAATCACATCATCCTGGTACCAAAAAAAAAAAAAATCATATAGCAATGGAGAGAGCTACCTACCAAGAACCCCCTGTCTTGGTTACTTTTCTCTCGGTTACTTATTCTTGGTTCTCTCGGTTACTTATTCTTGGGAAAAAATATCTGATGCCCAAAATTTAGGAAGGAAAGGCTTATTTCGCTTACAGTTTGTGGAGGTTTCAGTCCGTACTCGGCAGGTTACAAGGCAGGGTGGCACATGGCAGAGGGCCACCGTTCAAGGCAAAAGCAACAGGCACAGAAGGGAGGAACGTCCATAAGCAGCTTCTTCCACTCCCTTACATATGCAAACTATCCACCCCAGGGCGGGTGTACCTCTCACACCCATAATCACTCAAACTCTAAAAGCCTGCCCCATGACTGCATGAGGCTTTGGGGGGACACCCAGGCACCCCCAAAATATTCAGACACACAGACCAAATAATTCCACTCTCAGAATCTATGCCATAGAAACCATCAGAGGTATTCTCAAAGATTTATACATCTTAATGTTCATCAGTAGTATATAAATAGTAATAATGTGTACAAATTTTATTATTTATATAAAAATACTAAGACATGTTTTTAAATAAGGTACATGAAAAATTTTATTGAAAGAATAAATATATATATGTAGATAGATAGATAGATGTATACTGTACTTACAATATGATCTCAATTCTAGAACTATATGAGTGAACAGGCTAGATTCTCCAGAATGTAGACAATAAGGAGAACTTAGGAGAGCAAATGGATTTACTGGGGAATAATACCTGTGAAAGAAAAGGAGAAACAGCAGGATCATGAAGGAGAGCCCTCAAATTACAATGCATAAGTAGAAAATCTTTGGCAGCCCAGCAGGTAGCAGAGAACACTGGCCATTAGAAGGTCCCATGCTGGAGGAAATAGCCAGGTTGCTATGGCACAAACTTGCCAGTACAGGCTGGGCTTCTCTTAGAATAAGGGACTGTGGCTCAAATGCTGGGACCAGTCCAGGAGGAGTGAACAACTGCAGACAGGGTGTCTCCTGAAGGAGGATCCAAGTGGCCCACATCTGTGTCTACATAAAAAGATCAGAAATGCACCAAAATTGTAATAGTGGTTATGGAATTTTGCATAATTTTTACTTTCTTTATATTTTTCTGTATTTACCAGGTTTTCACCCAAAGAAGCATAATAACCAGGAAAACAGTTGTATACTCAGAAAAACAGAAGTTGTCTTTTAAATGAGGACAAGGCAGGGCTTTCTGTTTGCTTTAGTTTCTCTTACTCTTGTCACTATTCATTCTTTGAGAATGATGGTTCTATTTTCATAGTTAACTTACCGACATGTGTGTTAAGACATTATTTCCAGAACGAGACAAATCATCAAGTTGCCTATACACATACATTGTCTCTGGCTCACTTTCGGATGTCTGCTTCCTCCAAGGCTTCTGAGGAGTTCCCAGTGTCTCTCTCTTTGTTAAACTGCATTGGAAGGAAGGAGCTGGGATGGACAGAGACAGGGTTTGCACTTGCCACTCCATGTCTGCACAGGGCAAGGGTAAGGTTTTACAGCACTGCATCATCTATGAGCCAACATATTATCTATCAACATTCCATCAGAAAACAAATGCCAGATCTCAAATTTTTGTCCATTCATGTATATCTCACTACCTTCAAGCAAGATATAGCTAGTCCTGCAGCAGTTCAGCAAATCTGGAGAATGGATAATCACAAATGCTTTTGCACCCAATGTGGAGTTCTGCCAAGAGTAGGCTGAGACTCGAGACACTGTTTTAACACTGGCTGTGTCAAGGTGTCAGATGACTTCAGACACTTTGTTTTCTTGCCCATAGGAGCAGTGGCTGGGACTAGTAGTTTTAAAATGGCTTTCCTGCCTTAACTTCAGTATGTCTCAATATTCATTTACCAATGCATAAATAGGGCTCTCAGCAAGCCAGCACTATTGTTTTATTGTATTTAAATAACTACATCACCAACTTATCCCCCTTCAAAGGAAAAGATAGATCTTTAAATAGTTCCCCCTGACTGCTTCACTGAGAATTGATAAGGATAATCACATTCACTATTCACAGGCAGCAAAAGGCTGGTAACCATCCAAACACAATGGACAGAAGACTAATTAAATTCGCTACGGCACAGCAGTACAAAGGAATACCATGCAGACATAAATAAGAACTAGGAGACCTACCCAGCCTGTCTATGGTGGCCTTCCAGGACATTTTCCTCCTACCTCCTTCCTCTATCCCTTTTATTGACCCTTCTTCTTCCCAACCTATAAATGTTAAAGGGACCTAAAATCAGTTCCTGGTCATTTTTTCTCTATATTCTTTCTCTACCTTCAATTCCCACTGACCCTCTAGGACAGTGATGGTGAACCTTTTAGACACCAAGTGTCATTCTGTGGCTCCACGATGATTGGAATTATAAGGTGTAGCTGTGCTTACTGGGCCTTACTCATCCATGATGATACATCTGCAGCAGGAGTGAAAGCATAGCTGGGGGACGGGTTTAACGTACTCTCTGCTTAGACCAGGATGGTGGTAGTGAGATTCCTTCACCATCACGTCTTAATATTGGCACTGAGACTCAAAATAGGCATCCTGAGTTCAACATGCCCCGAGCGAAAAAGTGGAACTGCCATCATAGGAGCTCTTCTTTGCCTACGACTCCCCATTCTCTAGTAAATGCGAAACATTTACCCAGTCACTCAAGCCAGAAAGCTTGGAATCATTTTGATTCATTTCACTCACTTTCCATATTCTGTATTCACCACTCCCCAAATTGGAATCTACCTTACCACCCCGCACCAAGCCACTGTCTCCTGCTTCCTGATTCTGCCAATAGCCAGCTGGTCTTCTTCCATTCCACTCTTGTTCCTTGAGAGTCTATTCACCACACTGCAGCCAGGAGGGTCTTTTCAAATCATCCCTCTGCCTAAGCCATTCTGCAGCTTCCCGTGCCACTGAAAATAAAAGCCAAACACCTCACCACGGTGGTAGGGCCTCATGGGCTCTGTTTCCCTCCTTTCCAATGTGCTGCTCTCCCACCATACCCCTGTCTCACTCTCCCTCAGCCTTCTTGCTATCATGTGATAGGCACACCCATAAGCCTTTGTCCACATTATTCCTTCTAACCGGAAAGCTTGCCCACCCTGACCTGAGCGTGGTCCCCTCCTCTCTCTCTCATGCCATCTCCCCAGAGTGGCCATCTCTGGCCATCCTATCCCAAAGAGTCTCTATCATTCCTACCATCCCACCTGTTATTTTCCTGTGCAGCACTTACACTTGCTGACACCGTATTACATAAGTATCATCCCTGTGTTTGTTTTGGTATGTAACCCAAATGTTAAGGAGGGCCAAGGTCTTGTCTTGCTTTTCTGCTGCCATATTCTCGCTGCCTAGAACAGTCAGTACCTGGCTTTCAAGAGGCACTCAAACATTTGTTGAAATTGCTAATGGAAATATGTGCTGTTATAGAACAATCCTCAAGATATATTGTTATATAAAAAAAAGCAAAGTGCAGATGATGTCTGGAATACTTCTGCAAGCACATTAATAGTGGTTGCCTTTGGAAACAGAAACCAATGGATGCAAGGAAGAAGGAAACATAATTTTCTCATAATGATTTTTGTACCATTTGAATTATTTCCATAAGCATGAATTATCTTTTGAACTAAAAAAAATTCTTTGGTCCCTTGTGCTGTTTTAATTGGCCCATGTTACCAGCCACATATGCCTTAGAATAGCTCCTCCACCTCCCCTATTGCCTACCAACATCCTTTTTCTAGTTCTCTGAACTGGAGCCACCATATCTTGTGCATTTTTGTTCTTGTTTTTGTTTTGTTTTGTTTTGTTTTGTGGAAAGAGGGTCCTCACCACCAACACTAAGGACCAAGGTTTGACTTCTTCAGTGTTCCTCCCAAAGGCATCTATCTACACTGTTCCGATGAGCTCCAGGCTCAGTGGTCTGTGGAAAGACACTCTCCATTCCCCTCCCAACGAAGCTGAGAGCTTTGCTGTCCCCCAACTAGTGTCCCCTGCTTTCCTGTCTGGAGCAGGCCATTGGCTGCTCCAGACCTCCAGGCAGCCAATCTAGTTTGTGCCAGTCTCATCACTGTGGGTCATTAGCTTGGACAAGGCTGTTTGTAAAGGACAGCTGAAATGTGCTTTTCAGCAGGAGGTGAAGGAGCTGTTTCCCAGCCCATTGCTTGTCCCTGGCATGGCTCCACAGGACCTGAGACCCAAAGACATAGCAATCTTGTTTGGAAGGTAAAGAAGCAGAAGCCTACATATAGAGTGAGGTAGTTGTCTGGGGTGTCAGGTTGAGGTTGCAAAAGAACCACGACTAAAGCTTGGGCCATCCCATCCCAAGTAGACTTGCTCTGGCTAGCTTTCCCATTCAAACCCTAAATCCAACCAATGATCCCTTTCCTTTGCTGCATGCTTGGTTTTCAAGGGGAGCTGAAGCAGTCAGAGAGAAAGAGAACACATTCACCACAGGGCAGCTTGTGGAGTCTCTGAAAGAGCACTGTCCTCTCCCAGACTTGGCAAATGTTTGAGGCCAGCTCATGAGCACTCTTGGGACTTTTAGGGATTAGTAATCTCCACAACTTGCAGACCTCCATATATACATAACTTCCCTCTCACACTCCAGAATCAAGTACACTTTAAATCCATTACAGAAACCTCTTGCCTTTAAAATAATGAGTGGGTTTGTAATAATAAGAGCAGAGGTCAAATGATCAAACAACTTTTCTATGATGTATGATTATAGGGAAGAATGTTTAAAACACAAGATTCAACTTTGAATGGATTTATCCATCAAGTATTGCAAACACACCCTCCTGTCCTACTCAAAACAAGTGACAAGATTTGAGAATGACAGGTCTGGAGGGGAGAGGGTCAAGAGGCAGCCTTTGTTATAACGCTTCTGAAACACCTCCCTAAGTGTGTTCATTGTCAAGAGTTTTGGGTCCAGTGCAGAGGACCACAATCCTCTAGGATATGACCTCCTCACACATGCTTTGTGCAGTGGTGTTGAAGATCTGTATCCACACAACTGTGTCCCAGTCTCATCCACATAGAGTCCTAAATATAGACAGAGTCCAAGATTTTGGTCCTAAATATACACAGTCTAAGTGTTTGGTCTAGAAACTGCACTAATTGGTCTTGTTGGGCCTAGAACCTCAGATACCCAGGTAGTATCTGTGAGATGGCCTTAGCAAAGCAGCTCTTTTGGAATTCTTTCTTTTTCTTTTTCTTTTTTTCTTCTTTTTGAGACAGGGTCTTGCTATGCAGTTCAGGCTGGCCTTGAGCTCACTTTGTAGCCCAGGCAGGCCTTGAACTCACAATGGTCCTCCTGCTTCAGCCTCCCAAGTGCTGGGATTACAGGCATGTGCCACCACACCCGGCTTCATGAGCTAGCAGTGACATCTGATGCTACTCAGTTACTAATTATATATTATATTCAAACAAGTCAGTTAGTATTTATTACTATAGTTAATATTACTTCAGGAAAACACACTATTTTTTTGTATTGCTATTCTAGATTTTTCACAATCATTATAAAGTCAAGCAAAAGTGATAGCTAGTATCTATTATGAAACCCTTTCCTATATGATAAGTGCCCTGCTAATCAAGTAGTCCTAATGTCACATTTAATGCTCAAGACATCCTTAGTAATAATTATGATTATCCCTTTCTTCTGTTTTGGTGTGTGTGTGTGTGTGTGTGTGTGTGTGTATTTGTCTGTCAGTCCGTGTTTAGTTTTTGGGTTTTGTTTTGTTTTTGTACTAGAGATTGAACCGAGGGCCTTTATATGAATTACATCTCCAGGCTTTTTTTAAAATTTAACTTTTTTATTTTCTTTTATCTGGTCAACAGTCATTTTTTTTTATTATTTTAAAGAGAATAAAAATAATTTTAAAAAAACATTAGAAATGATACAGAATTTCAAAAATTTTTTTTTTATTTTGAGACAGGGTCTTGCTAAGTTCCCCAGTCTGGGCTCCAACTTGCAATCCTCCTTCCTCAGCCTCCTGGAGTGCTGGGATTTCAGGTGTACACCATCATACCTAGTTCCCATCTTAAAGATAACAAAAGTGAAGAGAACTTCAGTAAATAGCTAGTCACACAGCTGAGTACTTAGAGCTATGAGCACCATGAAGACAGTAAATTTTTTGTAGGTCTAACTTTGAGCTTTTTACTATTTAACCCAAAATGCAGTAATAAATCATAGATTAAATTTCATAGAACAGCTCCCGGGTATGTAAAGAAAATCCTCCTTCAATAGTAAATTGTGGGATTTTATTTCTTTATTTTTCTTATTTATTTTGCAGTGCCAGAGATCGAACCCTGGGCCTTGTCCATGTTAGGCAAATGCTGTACCACTGAGGT